AAGAAATCTTGTCAATTTCAAGTGACACTGACTGACAACTGTACTCAGCTATTGACCGGTTAGAATATTAACTTGTCTATCTATCCCCCCATATCACTTAGTCATGCTTATAGGTGCTGAATGTGGTCATTGCCTTCTCCACTTAACTGTAGGCACTGAGAGCCCAAGTGTACAACAATTCTAAAGTTATTCTAACCTATTCTTCGATAATGCTTTTTTTATGGTATACTAAGATTTTATCTAGCCACTATGTTTACTAACTATAGAATGTTAGAATTATTTCAGAATGAGTGAGATTTAATTCAGCATTATAGTTAGCTTGGGAGATATGGGACAGTAGGGAGCTGGGGCAAGGATTTGTCTTCAAATCTTCTGAATATAAAATAACTGTCGTTAGCGTGTTCACGCAACTCATAAGCACAGCTTAGAAAACATACTCATAAAGAAGTACTTAATTTTCGGAAACTAATTTTCGGATTCCATTGCTAAGTCTTCATTTTGAAGCAACCGTTATAGCATAATGTTTGGTTGTATCGTATAACTTAAGTGTTGATTTATAGGTATTCATGACTATAAACCAGTCCTTAATGTATGGTTGTTAGATGCAAAGGCGTAAATCTGTAGACTCACAGTTGTCTTATGCTTTCGAAACGTGGTGTGTAATTTGACGCAGTAGCTCTAACACTAGATGGAATAGTTGTAAATTTACCACTAGCATATCTTTCGTAAAATTTCAACGTTCCACTCCCTTCCCCTTTGAAGATACTTATCTGCCTGTTGGTTCTGATATTTTTCATCTGTTATTGCGACAAATGTTACTTAAAGCTGCTAACCACACTACAAATACCCGAGATTACAAGTGTAGCAGTCCCAGGTGCTGACTTATTGTGATAAAGGTAGAAGACAAAAGCCTTGTCTGGGATGTTTTAGGAATTTTAATGTGGTAAGCAGATGTTCGCTTACTGCAGTCTAATTCCAACGACTCGTTCCCAGTGGAAATTCATATAAATATAGTGCACATTAACCAGGTGGCTGTTGACGATTACTATATGTACAAATATAAATCCTTTTCTCGTCAGGTGTGGTGTGAAGTGACAAGTTATTTTGCTATCATTGCTTCGAAAGTTTTTTTTATTCCTTCACGTTCCCAGTGGAACATAGGGCCTCAAGCTAGAAGCTTGAAGTTTCTGTAGCGGTGTTTATTTCTACAGGATGGGTTGCTAGCCTCATGCCCAACCTTTCCTCTTTGCCAGTTCTATTACTGGCTTAGCAAGGTAAAGGAGTGCGTCGGCCGGGGATCGAACCCCGGACCATGTGCATGGTCGGCGAGCGTCTTAACCACTGTGCCACCGACGCACGCTTCGAAAGTTTACGTTTGAGTTAATCCACTTTCTGCTTTGGGCAAATGTCTCTTTGACGACGTCATTTTTGTTATAACGTCTGTTGTACTTTATATTTCACGATAGAGTATTCAGGTTATATACACCTCAAAAAACGTTAATTTAGCTGAGTGAAGATGCAACCGTAAGGAAAATAATCTTTAATCGTATATTTGAAGTCTGACTTTGAATAAAATCTCTAATGAAAATAGGTGGGACCACAATAATGTTGAAAACTAAACTTAACTCTGTGACCAATAATAACGACATGAGCTACGAAACACTGCTAATTTCTTAAACCATTATGTCACAACCCTTTGCCGAGTCGTACAACAGGTCTCAATAGCTAAAACTCTGTCGCCTCGGGACACGGATGCATATGCAACCTGTGTGTTTATTCACTTGAATCCACCTGGCCAACTCGCTAAATCTGCATATTTCGCCCTATAGGTGTCAGAAGGCTCTTCATTTAGTTTGTGTCAACTATGGTATAGGTATACATTGAACATCAGTGCAGAATAATTGCAGCTTGACTACATCTGTGAGAAGAAAAATATTGTAAAAGCCGTTGATATCCTTTCATAACCTCTACTTACGCTACATATGACTGCAGTTCGGACGAAGCAAGGAATGACTTCTATCAAAAGCTGCTTATTTTGCTGTTAAAAGCAAAACTCTCAGATTTAGTTACTTTAGCAGTAGAGGCTGTGTTATATTGGTGTCACTTGTGGAACCCCATGCTGACTAACCGACAACGCTAGTCGTTTTCCACGTATTTGTCAAGATACTCATCTATTCCTGGTTAGCATCAGTTTCAAACATAAGGAAGAACGTCACCAAACCTGACAACCTCTATTATCAAATCAACAACGAACTAAAGTAAATTATGTCTTTATAGGCTATCGATAGTGTTGGTAGAAGACAGCTGACTATTATATATATATATATATATATATATATATATATATATAGTAGTCAGTGAATAAGTGTTATTAACAACACTAATGTTTAAATAACATCGGATCAATAGTAATATTAATAGATTACAGTTCCATAGCATCAACATTACAATACAGTGAATATCATAAAAATTGGGAAAAATAATATTACAAATTCATGAATTTATGGTCTCTACTGAAGGCCGGCCAGGACTGTAGTAGTAGCTGAACTTGTTTCTTCTTCACATAGAGCACCTGTTGTTTCAGGTGAATCGTGGTAGCCCCTGCTTTTTGGAGTATGAGGCACCTGTATGTTTTTGGCAATCTATTTGGTACGTAGTAAATGATAGAGAAGGATTCTTCGATGCTGGTTTTGTGGCCGGTTTGGATCAGGTGTTCTTATATCGAACTGTTGATGGTTTTAATACCCCTTTATCTAGCTTCACTGGTAGATGTTCCCGAGCGAGCACGAAAAATCAAGTTCCTAGAGCAACGGCCAATCTAACTCGCTCCACAAGCGCAGTTGAATTGGTAGATACAATTTGAAGTGGCTAGTCTAGGTACTTCATCTTTCAATCGAGGAATCACAATCGGTCGGATAGAGAGCAAGACTTGTAGTTTGCCAGCATTATAAGTTCCCTGAACTGATATTCTTAACTTCTTCGTAATTATTTCACTAGGTATATCGTCCTTGAATTGCAGTCGTATGTATAAAGGCTTCTTGTTGACGGATAGTGAGTAGTCCTTTTCAACACTCTTAGTTATATGTTTCCTGATGAATTTGTCTGGATATCTATCTTCAATCAATGCATCATATACAATGCTTAATTCATCTTCAATTACCTCTTCTGAGCATATTGCTTTAACCCTGTTGTTGAGGGTTCTTACTAAATTTCTTTTGTACTGGAGAGGAACGAAGCTATGATAATGTGTATATTGTCCTGTCCATGTACTTTTCGTATGCAAATTTCTCCTTATACTAACACCTGGTTTTCTTGTAAGGCAGACATCTAGGAAGGCAGTTCTGTTTTGGGATTCCTCTTCGTACGTGAATTTCACAGTAGAATGTACTTCATTGAATTGAGTTATTATTGTGTTCCTCATGATGAAGTTATCGAAAAGAATATTCTTTGTTCAGTAACCATTCTTTTGAAAAATTTTCGTTTGTATTTTTCGTGGCAATTTCTTACGTAAAAGAGAGGTAACGATTTCATAAGCAAACAACATTCGTATGGCTTTTGGTTTTTCACGAACCCTGATACTATGTAAACGATTTCTTTTTATGAACTTCCTCTGAAGTTAAATTGTTCAATCAACTCACTTGTAATCTGGAGTGCTTTTTTAATCTGCATTACAATTAACTGAGATCCAATGAAAATGAAAATCGGGTTACCAACCAATCACATTGCTTCTTGCATGTGGAAAATATCATAAATTAATTGCAAAGTAGTATTCTTTGTTGATTATACTGCTAAATTTGGTTTCTAGAGGTGTAGCGGTTTTATTATTATCAGGTGTGTTGATATATGTGTAAAATTTGGCCACTGTGGTAGTAAGTAATTCCATATTAGTTTGTTTATTAGATGTATCATACAGTGAAACAGTGTTGGTATTTACTTAATGACATTGTTTCGAACAAAATTTATTGTTCATAATCATTTCATCAATTATAATCACACGACTTCGAAACTTGAGTTTTATAGTTTTCTTTGTTCTCTCCTATTTGTCGTTCGTTGTTGGGGTAGTAGAATTTTCCAGATATCTGGGTGGACAGGTGTTGAATCATTCTTATTACACGTATTTGCAGTTGATTCGATTCTTACACAACTTATTTATCGGTGTTTTTTTGACTTGAATTATTCTTGCATATATTTAGAAACAGTGACTAGTCTATATAAATATATTGGAATACTAGTGTACTTGTTTAGTTTCCAGCTGTGACTCTAATCACAAAGATTCTAATAACCGGTAAACGAAATCAACTTAGTAGGCACAATTGTATGCTTATTGAAGTTTTTTCACTTCATACCAGCATATTGAGAATACAGTGAAGACAGTGGGTTAACTATGTCAGTAGTCGCAAAAGCCAATTGGAATGTAAATTGAGTGGGATAAAGATTCATGATAATAAGATTATAAAGACTTGGGTGAATATATAACGGAATCGATAGTGCCAGATGTGGTTCTTTCATTCCTTTGTGTTCCGAGTGGAATTTTCAGTGGCAGTAGTATTTTTTTATGGGATGGGGTTGCTAGTTTCACGTTCAACCGTCTTTTTCTACCAGTCTACTATGGACTATGCGAGGTTTAAGAATGTGTCGTCTGGGAATCGAACCCGAACCACGTGTGTGGTTGCTGAGCATTCTACCGTTGAACCACCGACGCAGTGTGGTGTGGTACTATTGTTAATATTTGGTTGAACAAAGAAATTAGAATGAGACATAATTACTTTTCGGAAACTTCTTATTTTGTACAGAATGAAGCAGTTTCGTTCTCATTTTTCATTTTTTTCTGCAAGTTATTAAGTCACTTTATGCGGCTGTTTTCATACACTCTGGGAAGTGTTATGTTCGTGCGCTAGGTGTCGCCTATCCAACAAGTGTTTCCCCTATTATTGGCAGTTTGTTGGTTAATAATAATGATGGTGATGGCAATTTCTAAGTGACTAAGTTTTCATTTTTCAGGTTCATCTAAACAATGGACGAACGACCCGTTAGTGGCGTGGGTGCCTACAAAATTAATTGGGATGAGATAGATGAACTGTCTAATCCGTTCGCAAATGGAAGTAAGGGTCTCCCATCTAAACCTAATTCGAAAACCGATCTGAAACCATCTGCACGAGGAGATGGTCCAAATGATAACACAAAATCACAATCAAATGTATCAAATGATGCTCAACCTGAGAAATCTACTAAACAAATTCCACAAAATCCCAAGCCAGATAACCAAGCTCCTGTGAAACAGAATAATCTTGCTGAAGTTACTCAGCCATCCAATCCCCCGTCTTCTACAATGGTAAACGGTCAGAATATTCCTAAATCTATCCAGAGGGAAAATGTCCCTCAACATGATGGTGAAACTGTCCCAATCCCGAGTAAGTCATAAGGCGGATTTTCTAGACTGTGATGTGCGTACAACCCTCGTCGTTACTATTAGCAACAGAAGCAATCTCTAAAGTTGTATTAGACCACAGAAAATGACTTGAAACAGAAAACAAACACTATTATGAGAAAGTGAATTGTGAACAGGGTTGAGTCAAGAGATATTCGAAAATGCCATAACAAAGTTGAAAAGTTTTAAGAAATAATCTTGCTCATTTTTTAAATTTGCTGTATATATATGACGTATAAGTCATTGAGTACTGTATTCATTTGAAGATAATGACCACACTTAAAGTTGACTACAATTGTATTTACACTATCGGCCCTCTAGTTGTCATATTGATGTATATCGTCAATTATTCCTAGTTTGTCATAAAGCAGACATCTTGTGATTGGCTCAGAGAGATAAGCTTGAATAATATAACAACCAAGATCTTACTATCCGTAGTTGTGACGGCTAAACGAAACTTGGGACAGATAAACTCATGAAGACTTGGGAGGTTTCAGGTACTGAAGATGATGCGTTGGTCAAATCTTCACCCTTCACCAGGTTGTGGCACACATATGGTGTTCAGCACTTTCCGTATTTTTCGGTCTTTAGAATGTTTTGTAACTAGGTAGTTGTTGTAGCATTTTCTGACTGCAAAGGAAATGCCTTAGAGATATATTAATCAAAACAAGACACTCAAACTCATACAACAGTGTGTGAACTTACGATGAGTTGTCTGGAGTGATGACAACTATTGGAGTCCCTCATTAGTATCTAGTTTCACTGTTCTTATTCAGTTTTGCTGTCGACGTATGGATGCTATTACCGTTTGATTTTCAACCTTCAGGAACTGATCTGCTACTATTAAAAGCTGTTGCTCACTTGTAGTACTTTCTCCAGTATCTGTCATATTTCTCGGACTGAAGGTAACATTTGACTTAGCTCATCGAGCAGATTTGAACAGTCTTTGTCTATGCTTTTCCTGTCTATGGTAATCTGAACTGTTGGACTTTGTGCATAGTTATTACGGAATTTATTGTGTGAGGACTAATGACTCGACGCAGTTGCTCAGGTTGAAGTAGGTGGAGTGGGACTCGAATCCGAGACCCATTGACTAAAAGTCGAGTGCTTAAGGCAATGAGCTACTTTTGTGCATAGTCCTGTGTTGTTTACTTAGTTAGTCAGTCGGTTGACCAGTGTGTCAGTCAGCTTTTGATTTTGGTGCCATGATGTGTGTCAAGATGTTAAAATATTAGTTTGAATTTGTCATCTGTTTCTGGATTTTTCGGGTCTTGCTATTAAGGGATCCAAAACCATCTTTGTTTCCTTCCTGTCTGTTCATAGCTAATCTAAACTGCGATAAGAAACACGGTTAGGTAAAAGATTTGGTGGAAAACTGGCGATCACTTGCTTTTTATTGAGATGATAGTTGAATTGATTGTAGTTGAAATCCTATGAATCAGTGATAATGTGTGTAGCCCAGCTAGTTTGATCGTACTTTGGTCATGTCATACTCTCACCTAGACCCTTATTTTCGTTGTTTAATTTTATTGTGAATTTTCTTGATTTATTTGAAACATATGTCTGTTGATGGCGATTCAGATTTCCAAATTATAACTTAACTGATTTGGTTCACTAAGTTCTCTCTTTGTCACTTAGAGTAATTGTTAAAATGTGAGTGGAAGGTATTCAATCTAGAATATGAATAACGAGTACTAGAGCTTAGTACTAGTGAATCTATTTAGTTTCACCCTCCCCCCCGCAAAAAATGACCCGTTAAGATTGAGAAAACTCCAGCCTTCTCGCGAAATGACCTCATGTGGTTAAGCTTCTATCAAATAAGCCCTACCAACTGCCGGCCAAGTTAAGCTTTAACCACCACTGACTACCAATGGAGTGCGACCGCACCAATGACCTTAAAACGCTCATTGAGAAAGTTAGTGAAACCTGGCAAATAATGTTGTCATCATAAATAAAATATGCTCATCGAAGTGTTATGCTATTAAATGGGATTTCTGGCAAGTTTCAGCTTAGGTTTGGGAAAGATTAACTTACGCTTTAAGCCACGGACAAGTGAGGGTTAGGTTAACCTAATAAAGGCGACATTAGGGTTGGTTAGAGTTAGATTACAGTTAGTTATCGGATATTTTCACGTTAGTGTTAGGTTCAGGAAAGATTAGGGTGATTGTTAGGGTTAAAGGACCTAAATAATTACATGCATTGAATGTGGTCAAATTACTCTGTTGATATAAGAATAGAACTTGTGCACTGTGGTAGAGTATGATTCTACTGTGGGTAAAATTTATTTTGATAAATCCTCACAATATTATACAGTAATATTTACTGATGACGTTTCGAGCACAGTTTATTACCCAGTAAATATTACTGTGTTACACTATGAGACTTTATCAAAATTAATTTTACCCACAATGGGATTAAACTCTGTTGATACTCCAACCTAAAACTGAGAGCTATTTTTATCAAATGTAAGAGCAAGGTATCATCTGTAAATATGTGTATTCCATATACAAAAATGCCTCCTTCACGTGACTGGTGCGTTCAAGGTCATTCGCTGATTGGTAGTTAGTGGTACTTATAGTTTAACTTTGCCCAACTGCCTACAAGCCTTGAGGTGTTCTTACAAAAGTGAAACGGCTAGTGTATATGTCCTTCACATTAATAGGCTGGTAGGTACAGATAGTTCATCCAGAGAAGTTGAAAAATCCTGATTCTAAACCTATAGTGGACATGGGATCCAAAAAGAATGAATGGTATACAGACCTGTTTCGATCCTCAGCAACCATAGAAACGCATCTCCTGACTTCAAGTGAAAAGCTCGTGGTCCTTTAAGGTAACCACCTATCTGGGTGTCCGAACAATATTCATGCCCTCGCATAAAATATGAAACGATACCAGGTGGAAAACCCAACTTGTCTTTATAATCTTACAATCATACACTCAGTCGTTCAATCCATTTTTTTAAACTCATATACGAATTATCTTGTCTTATTTTTATCATCTTTACTTTTTCTTAGTATCATTCTTACAAATGAATTCCATTTTGGTAGATGAGTGTGTTTCACATGCTATTTTGTTTTCATCTAAAGAGTTTGAAGCGACCAAATGGTTTTAAAGTATGTGATTTGGTCGTTGTATGATGACCGGAGCTAAGCTATCGAGTATGCCAATTGACAGTTATGCGTTCCGTAATTTTATATTACTAGGGGGTCCTGTTATTTCAATTTTTTATGCGCTGTAGTTTCTCTAGCAGTCTGATAGCTTTTGTATTGTAGGGTTGCTAGCCCCACGCCCAACCCTGCCTCTTTACCCGGGCTTGGGACCGGCTAGAAAACTAGTTAACTAGGCGGGAGATTTAACAGAGGTTGCCTCCTTCACTTAGGAAGCATCGTTTCAACTACAGGCAGAACAGATGAAGATGTCAAAGTCAGGTAGAATCGGTAAGGCAAGATACGCCTTCATCAACCTGAAACCAGTTTGGAAATCTTCTGCACTCAACCAGCGTAAGGAAGAAGATTCGGATTTCCAATACCAATGTAAAGTCGGTCAGTGCTTCCATACAGATCAAAAACTTGGCGTGTCACGCAAAGCATTTCCAACAGGCCAATTCAAACTTTTATCAACAACTGCCTTCACCCATCCCATACTGAAGATCAAATGGCCAGAAAGAATTAGTAACAAGAAACTATGGGAACAAACCAACCAAGAGCCGATCGCTCAACCAACGAATATGTAGGAAAAAGTGGAGATGGATCGGGAATACATTGAGGAGGCCGCCAAATGACATCGCACGCCAGGCAATACGTCGAGTGGAATCCAAATGGGAAGCGACGAGTGGGTCGTCAGTGCGAGGGTGACATGGAGGAGATCGTGTGAGGGGGAGATGAGAGATTGTGGACAATCGTTGTCCGAGCTGAAGAGGACGACAGAAGATAGGACAAAATGGAGATGCGTTGTGTTGAAGCCCTATGTTCCACTCGGAAACCAAGGGAATAATAATAATAAGGAGGTCCTGTCTTGCAGTGAGCCTATATCAACCTTAGAATAATTGTAGCACTACATATTTGTTTCGTCCTATTTTGGGCTCGGTTTTATCACAGTCTCAGAATATATTCTAAAATTGGATGTTTGTACGTACTTTTGAGGAATACTAAACTTTGTCGGAATGGTTGTTTAGTACTTTTCATTTCCCCAACAGTTTGTTTCTGTCCTTAAAGTTTTACATATTAACTCAGTGTTATTTTCCTACTATTTCTGTTACAGATCCTCAGGCTGTTATTCCATCTCCTGAAGAAATATCTGAGGTAACCTTTTCGATATTAGATTATTTTTTATTCTGAAGTATTTCATTCATCTTGACTGTACGTTTCAGCGATTATTATCATTATTATTATTTCCTTTAATTCCTAGAGGAACATAGGGCTTCAGCCGCGCGTCTCCATTGCGTTCGGTTCTCTGCTAGCGTTTTCACCTGGCTCCAAGTTTGCCCACATGCTTTCATCTCCTCTTCACATGACCTCCTCCAAGTCACCCCACCCTCGCACTGACGACCAACTCGCCGCTTCCCATTCTGTCGGGTTCCACTCGAGCGATGGCTTGTCTAGTGATATCACTTGATGGTTTGTTTTCTCAGAGTATGGCCAATCCATCTCCATTTCTTCCTGCCTATTTGTTTCACAATCGGTTCCTGGTTGGTTCGCTCATTGCCAGAGATCCCTGTTGCTGATCTTTTCTGGCCGGCCATCTGATCTTGAGTGGTATTGAGCGAAGACAACTGTTAATGAAGGTCTGTAGTTTGTTGGAGATGCTCTTTATGACGCGCCAATTCTCTGATCCGTATAGCAAATAGCACTGACTTCACATTGGAGTTGAAAATCCGGATCTTATTTTTGACTCTGAATGCTGTTGACCTCCACACAGACTTGAGAGTAGTGAAAGCTTGTCTTTCTTTCCCGATCTTCGTTCTGATATCCTCGTCAGTTCTGTCCGCCTGTAGTTGAAACGATGCTTTCCAGGTAGGTAGGTTAAAGAGGTTGTTTCTTTCAGGTTCCTTCTATTTATGCTTATTGTTGTCTGTTGTTGTTGCTGTTCGCCAGGAGTCTTCATCACCTCTGTTTTCTCTATGTTCACCTGAAGTCCTATCTTTGATGCTTCTTGTGCCAACTTGTTTCTTCCCACTTGCATATCTTCCAGTTTGTGGGAAATCAGACATATATCATCGGCGAAGTTCAGATCCTCCGGGTTTTTTGTGTGGGTCCATTTTATGCCTGTTTCCTCATTGCCCGCTGTTTGTCACATTAACCAATCTACTGCAATCAGGAAACAGGAAGGGCAACAAGCGACAACAACAATAAAAAAAACCTTAGCAGTAGTATCAAAGTCAGATACAGTTAACAAAAATGATATCAAAATCATAGACTCACTGACTTGAGCCAACTTGGATATGTAAATCCATCAATATATACAATTATAATTACAATTATAGATATTAGTTAGTGTTAGTCAGTTCCAAAATGGCAATCAGATAGTTATAGGTATTATCCAACAACAAGATTATATCAACAGATTCAGTGTTTGAAAAGCAAATAGTTACACTACTTTCCGAAAGTTCTTGGCAAGAAATTCCACAGAAATAAGAGTTTTATGATACTACGTGAATGTAGCGTAGTAATCGAAAAGCGCGTTTCAGCGATTGTGGTGTTTATTCTTCTTTTTCGCTATTGCTTATTCAATAATGTTACTGGCTTACGTTGATTATTAGATATTTTGTTAATCGATTTTTTCCCAATAATAATAATTACTAAGTGTGTTCTCTGACATTCTTTCATTGAATATAATTTCACTGTTTTAAAATCGTTAATTTGTTTTGCATATCATGTAATCGGTTATTGCTATTAGATATTTCTAAGTTTAGGGCAAGAGTGTTACAAAATATGCTTTTGGGGATTCACTATTATCGACAGTTACAAAATAACAAGGGAAGTGTACAACTTAAACTAGCGTTACTTAAAGTTGCATGAATATTTCCAGCTGCTCTTGTCCAGGATAATCGAGTGATTGACACAAAAGTTGAAGATAGAGGGCAAAAACGTTATGAGCCATATGGCTAAATAAGTCATTTTCATGTGGGAAATTATCTATCATCAATAATAGAGTTAAGGCGAAAACAGCTGGGCGGTGTCTAAGGCAACCGGCATGTAGGATTAAATTTTTAGTTCACACTATCAACACTGAAGACAGGACTCCAGGTGAACATAGACAAGACGGAGGTTATGAAAATAACCAACCAACAACAACAGCAACAACAGCAACATCCGGCGCCAATCACCATCAACGGAAGGGATTTGAAAGAGGTTACTTCATTCACTTCACTGATCTAGGGAGCAGTGTCTCAACTACAGGAGGAACAGACGAGGATGTCAAATCGAGCGAGAATCGGGGAGGCGAGAAACACATTCATCAACCTGAAACCAATCTGGAAATCTTCGTCACTCAGCATCAACAACAAAATTCGGATTTTCAACACAAACGTCAAGTCAGTCAGTTCTTCTATATTGATCAGAAACTTGTCGGGTCAACAAGAATATTCCCAACAGGCTGTTGCAGACCTTTATCAACAGAGGTCTTCGTTCTATACTGAAGATCAGATGGCTGGAAAGAATCACCAACAAGAAACTATGGGAACAAACAAAACAAAACAAGAACCAATCGCCCAACAAATATGCAGGAGAAAGTGGAGATGGATTGTACACTCGCTGAGGAGGCCGCTGGGTGACATCGCGCATCAGGCCATAGCTCGAGTGGAACCCGAAAGGGAAGCGGCGATTGGGACGTCGGTGCAAGGGTGACATGGAGGAGATCGTGTGAAGAGGAGTTGAAACAGTATGGACTAACATGGATGCAGGTGAAAAGTACATCAGAAGACAGAAGCAAGTGGAGACGTGTAGTTGAAGCCCTATGTTCCACTAGGAACCCAAGGGAACAATAATAATAATAAATAATAATAGAGTTAAGGCGAAAACAGCTAGGCGGTGTCTGAGGCAACCGGCATGTAGGATTAAATTTTTAGTTCTCACTATCAACACTGACGACACAAAGTCTAGGCTTCGCAATAGTGACTTAATAATACAAACTTTATCTGTTTTTGAAAAATAAATAAAGAAGATCGAATACAACACACACACACACACACACACACAAGGTCTGTGGTAATTTCTTTCATTAACAGAAGTGGTGTGCTAGATAGGGAGGGGGGGGGTGAATAACAGTTACCACTTGTAGTGTTGTGGCTGCATTATTTCTGTGTATACATTACTACTAATACTATCACTGTGCGTCGGTGGCACAGCGGTTAGGACTCTCGCCGACCATGCACATGGTCCGGGGTTCGATTCCCTGCCGACGCACACCTGATATCAATGGTTGGCCTGCAAAATTTGGGCTACTGATATCACATGCTGAAAATTCCATACCTGTACCAAAAATACTGTGTGGAATCAAGCTATAATCAAAATTGAAAATCAGATTAAAAAAAAATATTTTGATGTTATTGGCAGGTTTGCATATTTAGATAGATTAGATGTGACTCATCCATCTTGGTTTCACACACTAGTGACAGCCAAAAAAAATAATTTTAACTCCAGATGTATATGAAGTCAAGATGTAGCACCAATAAAGCATTTAATTTCTCTGATAACTATCTTGCCTCCCAGAATAATACTCCATTTAACCTCGTTAAGTATGTCATTATTACAAGTTTTACTTTTGTGTGCTCTTTGTTGTATCACACTGAAGCAAGTGGAACAAATTTTGTTTCTTATGCAATAGGTTGTCGTAACTGTCAATATATAAAGAGTAATACAAGTATTTATCAAACTTCCAGCTATATTTACTATATGAAGGTTGCCTTGTGGAATAAATAGTCAAGTGGTTTTTAATCGGCTATCGATTAAGTTAAAGTCAAGTACCTAAAAATAACCAATCACAACTGTCTTAAAGTAGAAGATTTATACTGGTTTATTAAATAGTTGTCGGCGATTTTAGTAAATGATGCGGTGTTCTCTTTATCAAGGAGTCCTTTTTCATGAACTATTGTTAATTAAGAGATTACTGACTATTAGATAACAGTGTAAAACTGTTCCATCTTATTTTGAAACTTTGTATGCTGAAGTTTTCCTCTCCACGTTTGGATATACGAATTCCACTCCATATTAGTTTGTTTATTAGATGTATCACACAGTCAGTGAAACAGTATTGGTATTTACTGGATGACATTGTTTCGAACAAAATTTATTGTTCATAATCATTCCAATCAATTATAATCACACAACTTCGAAACTTGAGTTTTATAGTTTCTTTCTTTGTTCTCTCCTATTTGTCGTTCGTTGTTGGGGTAGTAGAATTTTCCAGATGTCCGGTTGGACAGGTGTTGAATCATTCCTATTACACGTATTCGGAGTTGATTCGATGAACAAAGCTTCCTGTCATCAGTTTCTCCCTCCACCCTGCTTTTACATTAGATTTTAAAACTGTCATCTTATCCCATCATTCTATTGTATGGTTGTGTGTAATTTTATGTGGTGAGTGCTACAGTTGAACTATTCTCTAAATTTCTTTCTTATTCGGGTCAACTAATCTACATTTTGCTAGGTTTTTATACTCGGCTAGTCGGACTGTACCTATTCTACTACTTTAACCTGACAATCATTGCAGGCAGGGTATTAGATAAACTAAATTGTTTTGTTTTAAAGGCTCCACTATCAGGATCCTCTAACCGACAAAGCTTGTTTCTAATTGAGTTTGTAAGTGGTTTGAATGCCAGCCACTTTTATTCCTTCCTGTCTTGTTAAGAATTCTGCGTGAGGTTTCCGAGGTTCCTTCCTTGTATGGAATTACTACTGATGATTTAGATTCCTTATTGTTGGTGTTGTCATTATCTTGGGTATGTTTGACATGCATGTCGTCATTAATATTTATATTTATCGAATCAACTGCAAATACGTGTAATAGGAATGATTCAACACCTGTCCACTCAGATATCTGGAAAATTCTACTATCCCAACAACGAACGACAAATAGGAGAGAACAGAGAGAGCTATAAAACTCAAGTTTCGATGTCGTGTTATTATAATTGATGAAATGATTATGAACAATAAATTTTGTTCGAAACATTGTCATCCGGTGAATACTAATACTGTTTCACTGTGTAATACATCCAATATTCAAACTAATATGGAATTACTTAGTTAATACAAGAATGATGTAGTATAGAGACAAAGTTAATCAGACAGCAACTAAAGTAAGATTGAGTTAAAAAGCTAGGTGACGCAATATAATTGGCTAAAATGTTACAACTTAGGTCAGGATAGCAACAGAGGTAATTACAGGTAGAGATTAAGTAGAAGTGAAATTGAGTGAATAAGTTGGATGACGTAACATGAATGACTAGAAACTGAGCGTTGTTCAAGTCAGTAAGAGTGGTAGTGAGGTGTAGAAATTGAATCGGGTGGGGGTAGAGAACAAGAAAGTTGAAAATGTAAAATGTTACAATTGAGAAGATGCAGTTCCATCTTAGAACATCTGATAGAATCCGGACACCAAGCTACACCGCAAGCAAACTTCAAAGTCGTCTACAGAGTAAGAAGTAGTCCCCCTAAAAGTGTACGAATCAGACTTCTTCAAACTGCAGAAGCAATGGCGATTCACTCGCTAAGTCCTGAACTCTGCATACAGAAGAAGTTCGTTCAATCACTACACTTGCAATGGACTTAATCTATCTTATTAGCCGACATGTAAATTCTACCTAATCTTTTCTTCTGTCTCTCCATTAGTATTATTTTGTCTTCTCAATTGTAACATTTTACATTTTCAACTTTCTTGTTCTCTACTCCCACCCGATTCAATTTCTACACCTCACTACCACTCTTACTGACTTGAACAACGCTCAGTTTCTAGTCATTCATGTTACGTCATCCAACTTATTCACTCAATTTCACTTCTACTTAATCTCTACCTGTAATTACCTCTGTTGCTATCCTGACCTAAGTTGTAACATTTTAGCCAATTATATTACGTCATCTAGCTTTTTAACTTAATATGGAATTACTTACTATCACAGTGCCCAAGTTGTACACATATATATCAACAATTCCATTCCACTTGATGAATTGACTTATTTATTAGTGATAAATTTGATCATTGGTTATTTTGTAATTACTTCTTCTTTCTTTTTCTGCCTTTTCTAAAATTTTTATCTGATCGAATAACTGAACTCAAATAATAAATCATCGTGATAATTATAATAATAATAATGGTGCTGCTGTCTGGGATAAATCTTCATTCACTATGTTCAAGGCATTACAAAATGTTCTAGGTGAGTTGGAACATTGTTCTATTGTTTATTGAATGCGTTTAGATTGGATTAATCACGATTTCTTTTTAAAATGAGTTATATAATTTTCTTAAAAATAATACAGGATAGTCTGTACACTTAGACACTCACCTTCAGATAGTAAATATGAGAGTGGATACTCTATTTGCTTGGTATTGTTAATTTTCGTGTACAACAATTAGCTATGGGTGATCCGGCTTCAAATCTCAGAAGGCACATGAGTTCCTTCAAGATTGCAGATATGCCTCCCTGACGAGTGCCAGCAAGCACGAAAGCTGGGTCCAAGTCTTCCTATCGATTTCCGCTAACCAATTTAATAACAATTCTGAGTTTACTGTGATAGCAAGCCACCTAGCATGGTGGTCATATTACAAACTTGACTGATGGATTTCAGTCTGTACCAAACGAAAGACTCCATGGCATTAGTTACTGTTCGCAGGTTGCTTGCGTTCGATGGCATCATCGTGAGTAATTTGAGTTCATAATTGAGTCGTCATTATGGTGGCTTGGACATGGCTCGAATGTCATCTCAGGGGCTTCCGTACAGTCTCTGTTCGCTAGCCCTGGGACGGGATGGAAAAGGCGGAGGGGTGGTCAGTCCATGACGTGGCGTCGTGGGATGAAGGATATTTGTGCTAGATTAGTATCGATTGGTGCGTCACAACTCCCTGATTGGGGTCCGCGAGATAGCTCGAAACGTTATCGGACATGGCCAATGATCGTAATCAATGGCGAACGTGTTGCAATTTCCTTCTTTCTTCCCTTCCTGATGATAGTTAACGAATACTGTTTGAACTTGTTAAACGTGAATGTTTTCCTTCCCGATGAAGTTCTTTATCCGTTTCCTACTTATATTTTTACTTTTAATCTATATTGTTTTACTATTATTGTGTGGCGCATCTTTCTTGGTGCCATATTGTACCAAGTTTTTCTGCGTTTAAATGAATAAAAAAGTTACTAACTAGTGTCCAATTCGAAGTAGTAACCCAAGCAACAACATGCGAAATTGTAATTCTAAATTTCAATGTCCTTCATGTTTTTATACCAGTTTTAAAGGTGAACACTCCCTAAATATTATTGTCCTCATTCATTCTTTATATTACCTATTTGATAATTTACCATATTATAAATGTAAATTTTCATAGACAGATCATGAAGTTTTGCATGAAAATATAGTCTCTGTCTGTCTGTTTTCGACATAGAACTTTGCACTGATGTGCAGCAGTTCAAGTCGCCACACTCCATGTAGCACACAAAGCCAGAGAAGAGAGTAAAGAGATATTCAAAAGAGAGAGATAATAAACAGAAATATGAGGCAAAAAGAATAGTAATATTGAAGACCAATAAAGTTTGAATGAATATTATAAATCACAAAGGGTAGATGCATCTGCACCAGCCATTGAGAACGAGGATTTTGAGCCATATCACCAATTGTCTCCAGCAGTCATTGGTTTTTACCGTCCCGAGGACCCCATGCAGTCAGGAAGTCTACACCTTCCTACGTGGCTGGCTGGCTTAAACTAACTGTTGTGGATTTCATTGACTGATGAAGCCATGTTTTGGTTTGAGCGCCGCTAGCTGTTTTCCAGCCTGACCCTATGTGTCAGCTAACATTGCCCCTTGTCGAGGAAGGCGATGGCTAGGCGTGCGTAATACATGTCGTAACCATCTCAATCGATGTAGCTTCACAGCCTCGTCGATTGATTTCCCCACCTTACCTAGCACTAGACGCCTAACCTCAATATTGCTTACCCTACTATATCACTTCACACGTGAGATAGAACGCAGGCACCTATGATCAAAGACAGCTAGTCTTTTCATGTCTTCCACTCTCAATGACCAGGTTTCACAGCTAGTCTTAAAGAAGGTTGCCCTTTGGTCGATAGCCGGATATCACCTCTACACCAGAGACGGCGTAAACCGGTGTGTGCGAAACTAGCCCTCTGTATCCGTGCTGAGATTTCGTCAGAGATCAACCCGTTGGGACTGATGCAACTTCCCAAATAAATGAAGCGGTCAACACGCTCTACCACTTCACTCCTTATTTCTAAGCTAGGAGTCAGGTTCGTCCAGTCCTGTAACATCATCTTACATTTGGCGGGAGCGAATCGCATGCCAAACATTCGTAGATTGCAGCTCAAGGTGTTTATAGTAGGTTGGAGGGAAGTTACTATTAGTTGTTAATGTAAAAAGTCTTCTAAGCTTCATGATAACTTTATGTTGGTCTATCGAAGGAATATTTTCCTTTTTTTATTTTGACATTCATCAGCAATATGGACTAATTGTCTTTCCTCTATTATTTGAAGAATTGAAAAAAAGGAATTGCTAGACCTTTGAAATGGACATCATTTTCAGTGTTGCTTCACAAGCTTAGAGAGCAGCATAAAATACATAAAAGCACTCTCAGGCGTACCTTTATGTAAAGTGTTCTATCACCATATGCATATGTCTAGCTGTCTGTACTTTTTTATATAGCGAAAATATTCATTCAGGCATCTGTAAAACACAAAATAATTGAGCAAAAAACATCCTCTTTGATAATTTCCTCTTCTGGCTCTATAATTTTATATATGTTTATATACATAGAATATTCTAAAATAGTAGTCAATAACAATATTAGTGTTTTTTAAATAATATCGATTTGTTAAGTAAGATCAATGGAATTACAGTTCACGAAGGATGCATAAATTATAATAAGCATAAAAATGTAAAAGCAAATAGAATATCAAATAAAATTAAGGAAATTTTCACAATAAATTGAGGATCATTAGAACCTAAATGACCAAGGTAAGGACAATGTCTGAACTAACTTCTTTTGGACGCATAAATTAGGCTTCTTAATATGGATCCCAACGGCCTCAGCAAGGCGAAGTTAAGATTAGTTGGTTGGTATGCGGTTAATGACTCTGAAAGCCTGGTTAACATCAATCTTGTGTTCTGTATCCACAAGATGAGATAGAATAGCGCTACGAATAGATTTAGTTTGTCCTTTACTTAACCAGGCGGCAGGGTGATGTTCGGAAATCCGATGAGAAACACGCCTAATTGTACGGCCTATGTAACTGGCTCCACAGAAGCAGTTAAATTGGTAGATACACATGGAAGAGGCGAAATTAGGCAGTTTGTCTTTAACTCCCGAACGCAATAGAGGAGTGGTTTTGAAGACACAGCATAATTCAGCAGCAGGGAATGCTCTTTTTACCGCATTTCTAAGGCGATTTTTTTAGTATCTCGCTGATGTTGTCCCCGAGGAACTGCATTTGTAAGAATAAGGCCTTTTATAGGAACTGTTGGTACCTTGGGCTGCCCTGATTTTTGATTCATATTATTATCAATGAATTTTCCTGAAATACCATTTTCACTCAGCAGTCGTTCAATAATATTGAGCTCTTCAGTAATACATTCATCAGAGCAGATTGCTTTCGCTCTATGGACCAAGCACTTTATCAGACTGCGTTCATATTTCAAAGGCACGAAGCTGAAAAAATGAGTATACTGACCGGTTGATGTAGGTTTGCTATATACACTTCTTTTTATTGTGCCATCCTCTTTTCTGGTCATAAGGACGTCTAGAAATGAAATACTAGTCTTTTTCTTTCTCAATAGTGAAATTTATTGCAGGATGAACCTCGTTAAATTTTTCCAGGATTTTCTTTGCTTCATCCTCATTTTTCATAATCAAAAATGTTTCGTCCATATACCGACAATAGAATTCAGGTTCATCAATAACATCTTTCAAAGGCCCATTTTCTAGTTTCACAAGGAAAATGTCGGCTAGAATGGGTCCTAGTGGTGACCCCATTGCCACACCATCAATTTGTCTATATAGTTCCTTATTAAATAAAAAGTGGACATTCATTGTGCATTTCAAGGGAAGCTCTTTTATAAAAGAAAGAGGAATGCCAACATCGATGTTTCGTCTTACGAGTTCTTTGCATACAATGTTCACTGTTTCCATATATATATATGTATATATATATATATATATATAAATGTATCAGTCTGCGTTTTCATGAAATAGAAAATTGACTCAGATGAATTAGTAGTGGTTCTTTTAATTCTGACTTTTGTGCATCACACTTTCTCTTTTTTTACCGGTCTCTTTTTATGACTGAATCATGATAGGTGTATTTTTATAAAAAGAAATCATATCACATGACCGATTGATTCTAAATAACATTACAATAATGAAAACTAGATTCTCGCTTTTAGTGGGTGGTCAGTTGCTTGCTCAGGGAGACATATTTATTACAGTGTGTGTGTGTGTGTGTGATCTTGTTGTGTTTGTTTTTTCAATCGATTCAGTCACAGTAGACATTTTTTAAATGTTTTTCATGTGTTACTTTGTGTAGGTGTACTTGATTACTATTGTTATTATTGCTTTTATGCTACTTTACTGCGTCATATAATAAGTAGTAAAGTGTTACTTATGGAAATGAACTTTTAATGTTGGCAAACTACGAGTCTTATTCTCCACAAGACCGATGGTGATTCCTCGACTGAAAGATGAAGTACCTAGACTAGCTAGCCACTTCTAATTGTATCTACCAATTCAACTGCGCTTGTGGTGGAGCGAGTTATATTGGCCGTTGCTCTAGGAACTTGATTTTTCGTGCTTGCTCGGGAACATCTACCAGTTAGGTAAGATAAAGGTGTAGTGAGAAGCACCAACAGTTCGATATTAGAACACCTGGTCGAAAGTGGCCACAAAGCCAGCTGGCATTGAACAATCCTTCTCTGTCATCTACCGGGTGTCTAATAAATTGCCAAAAACATCGAAGCACCGCATACTTCAAACAGCAGAGCCTATCGCGATTCGCGTGAAGCAACCAGTGCTTTGTGTGCAAAAGAAGCAAGTCCAGCCCCTACTACAGTCCTGATCGGCCTTCAGCAGAGACTATAAATTCATGAATTTGTATTATTATCTTTCCTAATTTTTCTGACATTCAGTTTATTGTTATGTTGATGCTATTCAGCGGTAA